TACCACAGGCTGGGTGGCTTAAACAGCCATTTATTTCCTCATAGCTCTGGAGGCTGTAAGTCCAAGATCAAGGTGTCAGCAGGTTTGGTTTCTTCTGAGGCCTCTCCCCTTGGCTTGTATTGATAGATGGCACCTTCTCGCTGTGTCCTCACATGGTCTTTCCTCTGTGTGAGTATATCCCTATGTCTCTAATTTCCTTACTAATGTAAGAACATTAGTCAGATTGGATTAGGGCCACCCTAATGGCCTCATTTTAACTTAATCTTTAAAGACCCTATCCCAAATACTGTCATATTCTGAGCTACTCACGTAGGGCTTCAACATATGAATTTGGCGGGGCGGGAGTGGGGGGGAGGTATGACACAATTCAGCCCATAATAACGTGCAATGTATGGACCCAAGGAGGGAAATTATTTTAAGCCTTTTGACTCACTCATACTGCCAACGGCTTTCTAGGAAAGCTGTATCCATTTATAGTCCTACCAGCAAGGAATGACAGTGCCTATCCCCCAGCACTCTTACTAGTGTTAGTATTATTAAAAAATTTTTTTTGTTAACCTGGAAGGCAAAATTGTATGTGATATAATTTAACATAATTTTTGACTATTAATAAGCATAAACAACTTTTATGTTTGGTATTTCTTTTTCTTTCATTCTTTATACATTTATTCATTCAATATATATTTAATGAACTCATGCTATGAAGAAGACAAAGTGCTGCATACTGAGATTCTAGCAGAGAAAGAAATGTAGCCCCTGACATGAAGGAGCATACAGTCTAATGGAGAAGAGAGATGTGTAACAAAATTAACCAAATTATTGATGACAGCTGTGATAAGTGTCATGAAGAAGTGTGAGATCTCAGGAGAGTGTCTAAATGGTGGTTCAGGGGCCTGAACCAATTGGGGTGGTAAGAAAGGCTTTCTGGGGAAATGCAGTTTCCACGGTGACTGAAGGGTGATTAGCCAGGGATGAGGTGAAGCGATGGGGTTGTGTGTGGGGTCACAGCCAGAGAGGACCACTTGTGAAAGTGCCTGTGCTGGGCAGGAGCAGGTGAGCTGGAGGAACTGACAGAAGACCAGTGAGGCTATGTCACTGAAGAGGTGAGGGTGGTGCAAGATGAGTTGTAAAGTGAAATGTGATCAGGTATGAGTTTGACGTTGTTTTAACTATGCTGGCTGCTGTGGGAAAAGTGAAATAAAGTGAGTAAGGATGAATGCAGGATATCCACTACTACGAGGCTGCTGCTGGAATCTGGGTGAAAGGTAATGATGACTTGGATTAGGGTAGTAACAGTGGTGCTGGAAAAAAGTAGATGGTTTTGAGAGACATTTAAGAGGTGGAATCTGCTGACTTGGCAATTGGATGTGGAGGGGGGATTCTGAATTACTGGTCTGAGTAACCGGGCAAATGGTGGTGCCGGTTTCTGAGTTCTGGGACACTTGAGAAGCAGGCTTGGGAAGGAGAGATGATGAATTCAAATTTGGACAAGTCAGGGGGGGTGCCTGTGGGATACCAAGAGGAGAAGTTGAGTGGGCAGAAGCTCAGAAGAGAGGTCTGGGCTAACAAATAAATCAGAAACTCGGTTATAGATGGAAATTGAAGCCTGGGGGTGAGACATTGAGGGAGACAGTGTAAAGTAAGAAAGCAAAGGAAGGGAAGGAGGACTAGTTTAGAGTGTCGGGGGATGCCAACAGTTATGAGTAGTTAGAAGGGAGAAGTGAGCAAAAATGTCTAAAACACAGTGGCAGAAAGATCAAAGGGAAACCAAGAGGGTGCAGTGGTAGAAGGCAAGGGAAAGACTGTTTCCAGAAGGGTTCAATAGGCAACTGAGTTGAATGCTATGGAGTGACTAAAGACCATTAAGTGCCCAGAATTTGGCAACATGGAGACCAATATCCTGACTAACATTAGTGTTAGATGAAAAAGTGTGAGATAGCCTCATCCACCAGAGGGCAGACAGCAGAAGCAAGAAGAACTACAATCCTGCAGCCTGTGGAACAAAAGCCACATTCACAGAAAGATAGACAAGATGAAAAGGCAGAGGGCTATGTACCAGATGAAGGAACAAGATAAAACCCCAGAAAAACAACTAAATGAAGTGCAGATAGGCAACCTTCCAGAAAAAGAATTCAGAATAATGATAGCAAAGATGATCCAGGACCTCGGAAAAAGAATGGAGGCAAAGATTGAGAAGATGCAAGAAATGTTTAACAAAGACCTAGAAGAATTAAAGAACAAACGAACAGAAATGAACAATACAATAACTGAAATGAAAACTACACTAGAAGGAATCAATAATAGAATAACTGAGGCAGAAGAACGGATAAGTGACCTGGAAGACAGAAAGGTGGAATTCACTGTTGTGGAACAGAATAAAGAAAAAAGAATGAAAAGAAATGAAGACAGCCTAAGAGACCTCTGGGGCAACATTAAACACAACAACATTTGCATTATAAGGGGCCCAGAGGAGAAGAGAGAGAGAGAAAGGACCTGAGAAAATATTTGAAGAGATTATAGTCGAAAACTTCCCAAACATGGGAAAGGAAATAGCCACCCAAGTCCAGGAAGCACAGAGAGTCCCATACAGGATAAACCCAAGGAGAAACATGGCGAGACACATAGTAATCAAATTGGCAAAAATTAAAGACAAAGAAAAATTATTGAAAGCAGCAAGGGAAAAATGACAAATAACATACAAGGGAACTCCTATAAGGTTAACAGCTGATTTCTCAGCAGAAACTCTACAAGCCAGAAGGGAGTGGCATGATATACTTAAAGTGATGAAAGGGAAGAACTTACAACCAAGATTACTCTGCCTGGCAAGGATCTCATTCAGATTTGATGGAGAAATCAAAAGCTTTACAGACAAGCAAAAGCTAAGAGAATACAGCACCACCAAACCAGCTCTACAACAAATGCTAAAGGAACTTCTCTAAGGGGGAAACACAAAAGAAGAAAAGGACCTACAAAAACAAACCCATAACAATTAAGAAAATGGTCATAGGAACATACATATCGATAATTACCTTAAACATGAATGGATTAAATGCTCCAACCAAAAGACACAGGCTTGCTGAATGGATACAAAAACAAGACCCATCTATATGCTGTCTACAAGAGACCCACTTCAGACCTAAGGACACATACAGACTGAAAGTGAGGGGATGGAAAAAGATATTCCATGCAAGTGGAAATCAAAAGAAAGCTGGAGTAGCAGTACTCATATCAGATAAAATAGACTTTAAAATAAAGAATGTTACAAGAGACAAGGAAGGACACTACATAATGATCAAGGGATCAATCCAAGAAGAAGATATAATAATTATACATATATATGCACCCAACATAGGAGCACCTCAATACAGAAGGGAACTGCTAACAGCTATTTTTTGCCATATTACAAGGTACTACAGAGTGAGGCCTGGAAGGACTTGAAGGTAACAACTCCAGCTTTTTGACAAATTCTTTGAGAAACCTGAGGACCTCCCCCGCCCCTAAAGAGGTTATCATTTACCCAAGGTCACACAGCTAGTGAGTAGCAGATTGACATACCTGGGTTTTCTGATTTCAGATCTGCTGGCCTTGTTGCTCCAAGTTAGCAGTTAGTAATGCCAGCATGCAGAAAGAGCACAGAGTGTGGTTACAACTGACTTGGATTGCAATCCTAGCTCTTCCCTTTATCAGCCATGTAGCTTTAGAAAAGCCATTTAATCAGCTTTTCTCACATAATAATAGCACTGTGGAAAAGCAAGTTTCTGCTTGTTGTGAGGGGCAAGTGTGTCTGCACATAGTAGGTGCTCCATCAACGGGACCTCATCTCAAACTCCAAACCTAGGTGTCTTGTATCCCAGAGTATGGGCCCCTTTGCCCACACGCTTGTGAAATGGGTCTAATCCTCTGTAACACACGAGATGCCAAGAAATCCTAAAGTCTCCATCAATTTTTATCATATGAAGTTTATACAGCATCGTTCATTATAAGAAAAATACATATTAAAACAATAATACTATCTCACTCTTCCTATTTGTTGGCAGTTTGGGGAAACAGGCACACTCATGGTTTGGAATATTAATTTGTATCACCTCTTTGGAGAATAATTTGACAATACATATCACAATTTAAAATGCACTTATTCTTTATTAACCTACCTGTTTCACTTTTACAGACACATTCATACACATCCAAAATGTATATCATTGCAGCATTCTCTGCTACAGCAAAGTTTGCACAGGAACTAAATATACCTTTTAAAAAACAAAAACAAACAAACAAAAAAGAAAAAGTGTGAGTGAAAAAGCTGGAGTGGAGTGGGTTGGGGAGTGAGAGAAATTAACAGAGCAAGTGTCACAATTCTTTCCAGAAGTTTGGTATATCTGAACTATCTTTTTTTTCATCATTTTCCAATTGTGATTTTAACACTGATGTCATTGTAGTACATGACCTCTATGTTTGTGTGTATTATGTGAAATACCCTTATTTTCAGAATATTTATTAAACATGCAGCAAATATTTTTAAAGTTTTTTCGTCTACCATATTATATGTTGTTTTTTATGTACATTAGCTTTATTTTTATATAGTTAAGTTAATTTTTTTCCTTATGACTTCTTCCATTGCTCTTTTGCTTAGAAATTCCTTCTCCATACAGAAAGCACACAGATATTTGCCTTTGTATTATTTCTTAAATGTTTATGGCTTCATTAAAACTTTATTTCGATCATTCTGAAATTTATTTTTACATATCAATTTAAGGCTGGAACACTTTATTATACCACCCTAATGATAGAGGAGCAACATGGCTAATCTTGGGATGTTCTACTTACTGTTTTGACCAACTGACCCCACTGCCTCATTGCAGGAGAAAGCTCCTACTGATCAAGAAGATAAAATTTCAGTCCAACATGAGATTTGTTTGGTTAGTAATTTATGGACATTCTGTCTCTGTGCTAATATTGTGCAGTCTCTTTATATTGTAAAATTTTAAATTCTGTATTCCCAGTTTCCTGTGCTTCCCAGCATGATGTCGTCTGACAGCCATCCTAGAAGTCATTCTTATGAGGACCAGGGATTTCAATGCCATACTCACGTGCGGGATTACAGAAAATACTCAGAGGATGGGTCATTCAAGGAGCCCCTGGAATCAAAAAGAAGATCCCATTCCAAAATTCAGGCATTTTCAGAGTCCTTTGAACAGCAACTCTGCTTTAGAACCAAACGCTCTGTCTCTTCGGTACGTAACAGAGTTATTGAATATTTAAATCATTTTAGAAAAGGAAACCCAAAGGATTCATCCTCCCCTAGTTTCAGGAGAACAAATCTAACTTCTTCATTTACAGGTTGGTGTTGTGATCTTTGAAAAATGGCACTCAGTTTTAGCTAGCCCAGGTGTACATAAAATTTTAAAATTATTATTATTGAAGACATGTGGTGTAGGAAGAATTCCTAAAGGAGCACATGTGGAATGTTTTTGTTACCAAGGTCCTCTGTTTTCATCACCCTTATTATAAATAATTGTGATTTGTTCTCCTTCTACTATCTGAAGAAGAAAAAACTGCCCCTACTGCTCTTGTTCTCTCATATTTAATCTGGTAGGAAATAGTTTGTGATGGTGTTGTGTTCCCCTGTACTTTTAAAAAGCACAAGAAGGAACTCTCTGGACACTATGGTGTGAGTATCCAGGAATAGAGGAGCAATCCAGGCATTCACAGTGGCCTCCTCAGAGTCTAATTGAAGCCCAAGGGAGACAAAGGCAGGAAATGGGAGAAAGAATTGAAACACCACTGATGATGCCAAACTTGATACATAAAGTAATAAACTAGAGACCAATTAATTGGGGGGTAGTTTTTCAACTCTGCAACGTGCTCACTGAGTGGCCTTGAGCAAAATACTTTTTTTTTTTTGGTGGGTCTTTTGTTTTGGTTTTATTTTGCAAAACAAGAATAATGATATGTTTCTGCCATGTAGTAGGCAGAGCAAATAAGTAAACCTAGGTGTATTGCCACCTGGGTCTTGAGCTATGCTCTGTGAATGGCCAGGGGAAGGCACTCAGGTGCTTGCTACCTCATTGTCCACCTGAGTGCGGTGCTTTCTGCCTAGCAGTGATGGCTGTTGGGATTGTCACTGTGCATCTTTGCCTCACAGGCGGCACCTCACTTTTGTCTCAGTGACCTTGTGTATCTAGATTTCCCTTCAGTAAGCTGCTCTCTCTACTGGATCATAAGAGGAATAAGGAAGGAGGCGTAGTGAACAGCTGTCACTTACTCTATCTAAACCTTATTAAGTTTCTGTTTTGTCTTTTCTTTATACTGTTTTTTTAAGATATGGTTTCAGACTTACAGCAAGGTTGCAAGAATAGTACAAAACTACACCCTTCATCTAGATTTCCTCTAAACGTGAATGTATTATCACATTTTCCTATACCCGCTCTCTCCTTCCCACCCCCAAACAAGGGCACAAGGACATAATACAGTACAATAATTAAACTCAGGAAATTAACACCAATACAAAACTTTTATATCTAATCTATTGACCTTATTCATATTTTGTCAGTTGTTCCAATAATATTTTTTAAAATGAGATTCCAGATCATGCAATGCAACCGATTTTCATGTCCCTTTAAGGTATTTTATTTCTGGAACAATGCCTCAGTCTTTTTCATGGGACTGGCATCTGAAGAGTACAGGTCAGTTATTTTTTAGAATGAAGCTCAGTTTGAGTTCATCTGATATTTCTTCATGATTAGATTCACATTATGAACTTTTGGCAGGAATAAAACAGGCGTGAAAAAATTCCTGTTTCAAAACTATGTGTTGAAATCATTAATTATATTAATTAGGGGACTGACTTGCTTTAAATTCTTTCTGAAACAAGGGAGGGTATAAATATATTCTGAAAAAAATTTTAACCTGAACAATTCTTTGTTGATTCTGATGCCTTCAGAAAAACATTCATATCACATATTTACATAAGGGTGTAAATGTGAAATCAGTTTTTATTTAAAGAGATGTTCATTACATTATCCTTAAAATATAAAAATGTTTCTTTCATTCATTTCTCAAGTTCTTCCTTTTGAGTACCAAGATAACCAAGGCAGCATTTTCAACTTTTTTGACTCAAGAACTCTTTTCATAGTTATGTACAGTCGGCCTTTTTTGTCTTTGGGTTCTGTACCCATGAACTTGAGCATCCATGGATTTTGGTACCTGTGGGCGGTCCTGGAACCAACACCTTTGTGGATACCAAGGGACAACTGTATAATAGCTAGAAACCTGCTAGGAATTTACAAAATCATTAAAAAAATTTTCATATTATATGATAAATATACATGATAAATAATTTTAAATTCAGTATTTATTTTATATCAGTCTTTAAAGAGTATATTATAAAGTTTATCTTAATGCAAAATAAAAAATTTGGAACATTGCATACTTTAAAACTTTTCTATTTAACAATTGATACACTTTTCTAAAGCTAACTACATTAAAAAGTGTGATTTTTCAGCAATTTAAAAAATAATATATATTGCCTTTTCTTTGTTTTGTTTTTTTTGTTTTGTTTTGTTTTTTTTGTTTCTTTCGGTATGCGGGCCTCTCACTGTTGTGGCCTACTCCCGTTGCGGAGCACAGGCTCCAGACGCGCAGGCCCAGCGGCCATGGCTCACAAGCCCAGCCGCTCCGCGGCATGTGGGATCTTCCCGGACCGGGGCACGAACCCGTGTCCCCTGCATCAGCAGGTGGACTCTCAACCACTGCACCACCAGGGAAGCCCTATATTGCCTTTTATTTGGGGGCCAAATGTATGTATGTACTAATACATAGATTTAGATTTTACATCCTTTAGCATCAAGAAGAGCCAGAAACTGCTTTTGTGACCTGCTCATTACAAACAACATTAAATTTTTTCATTTTTATATTGAAAAACTCAACTGGCTTATTTTGATAATTTTTCACATTTTTGTTTCTAAGTGATGAGATAAGAAAAAATATTTCAGGTCATTATTTATGAGCAATTTTTGGATAGTCTGGATTCTCAATAAGGGAAAAGCCAAATTGCAAATAATCATCACTATATTTTCTTTTTTATACTGTTTTTATAAGGATTAGAGACATTCATGGCTGCTAAATATGAATTATGACCAGACTGATGGATTTAATACAAGCAATGGAGCTAATTAAAATAATCTGGAGGCATATTTACAGAGCTAGTACAAGTTTTAAGCTCCTTTTAACTTGCATCTCAGCTTCATCATTTGTTTTGCTTTCTGATTTTGACTAATGGACCATTATACATAGAAATGAAATAATCTAGGTATGAAAACAATTTAACAATGTACAGTAGCTAACACCACCACAGTAACCAGACATCCCCATAACTCACCCTGCAGGGCCGAGTCATGACCTTGCCCATCTGACTGTTACTCACCACTGCATATGTTCACCTCATAGGCACTCAGGGGTTCTCCAGTGTTTCCAGTTCACTGGAATGGAGAAGGGGAGGAGTAATGATCTTGAAGTGTAAAAATAGATACCACCACATTTATCAACACCATTCTTTTGTTAGTAATTCCTTTGAAAGTCACTTTCACCATGGAAACCAAAGAAGCACCCCCCCATCCCAGTTCCTTATCATATCACCCTATTTATAGTTATCATTGCACTTATCATTACCTTTTATTTTCTTATTTCCTTTTAGGCTTATTGATTGATTGTCTCCCTCTGCCTAGGTGTAGAATCTAGGAAGTAGGGTCTCTCTAGTTAGTGCCGAATCTCCCCATCTTAGAACAACAGTGTGTGTTCATTCAGTCATTGAATGTAGACCCCTCGGCAACTTGTTGGGGAATGTTGTGTGGTTGAATGTCATTCCTTGACACTTTGTTCTTTACCCAGTCCTCACCTGAAAACTTAGTGCAAACCCTACTATTAATGTAATTTTTGTGTGTGTGTGTGTGGTACGCGGGCCTCTCACTGTTGTAGCCTCTCCTGTTGCGGAGCACAGGCTCCGGACGCGCAGGCTCAGCGGCCATGGCTCACGGGCCCAGCCGCTCTGCGGCATGTGGGATCTTCGCGGATCGGGGCACGAACCCGTGTCCCCTGCATCGGCAGGCGGACTCTCAACCACTGCGCCACCAGGGAAGCCCTGTAATTTAAGGGAGTGAACATAAGGAGGTTAGAATCATTCCGTGTATGATTCCCTTGCCACATTCCTTTTCAAAAAGCACCAGAAGGATATTAATTTTACTGTGCCATGGAATCACATCCCTCTGTACATTAGAGGCAGAGTAGTGTGCAGGTTGAGTTTCCTCCATAGACCACCTGTTAATGCCCAAGGCCACCTATTCCTTTATTTTATGACTAAACCTTTAGCAACACCCTTAGGCTTATGCTAATTTATTACTAGAAACTAAGATGTGAAAGTCTGCTAAATGATTAGGGTTTTCTTCATTTCTGATAATTAGGAAAAATGTGGAATGTTGTCAGCTGTTGGCATATCTACCCTTTTCTGACCCTTCTTTTTCAGGGACCTGAGAGCAGAAAGGAGAGAAATGAGAGAGAATACCGGGCACTGGAAATGAGGTCTTGCAAGAAAGTGGAGGAAAGAAGGAGCTCTGGGAAGGAAGAGTGTGGAGAAGCTTACCTGCCCGCCCTGTCTGAAAAGGGGCCCAAATAGTACTTTGTTTCCACACCATGACTACTGATGCTGCTGTGTTTTTCTGAGCCCCAATTCACCAGGCCCAGGAGTGGTAGCTGTAGAGTCTGCAGATGCTGAGTGACTCAAGTGGGTGGTTGATTCAGCTGCTCCCCAAGACAGCTTGCATCATACTCCAGCTGCTTTTCAGAGTGTGATCTGCTCTGTTGCCCTTTTATGGGAATAAAAAGGATAAAAGGTATTTTAATAGCATAAAGTAATTATTGAAAATGTGAAGAGAGATATTTAAAGAGCCACCCACACATCTTCACCAACCCTTCTTCCACATCACCCTGGCAAATAATCTTAAATAAAAGTCATTGGTGTGACTCGATGCTTACTTCCTTATTAGAAGTAATTATATAAGTATGTCTAAAGGCCATCATTTAATGAGAGCTGGTAATTAAGGTGCCAAGTACTGTGCTGAGAGTTTGAATGCATTACCTAATAGTCCTCACCACTCTGAGGTGGGACCCAGTCTTCCTTTCACTTGCTGGCTGAGGAAGCTGGAGTTTAGGAAAGTTCAGTCACTCACTGGGGAGGTGGCAGAGTTAGGGCCGGAGCCCAGTTCATGCTGACTCATGTTCCTAACTTGAGGCAGGACCTTCATTTCCCTTTCGCAGTGGGTCCTGACTTAGTAGGTGTGTGATTTGCTTGTGAACGGGCAGATGTGAATGAGAAAAGCAGGACTTGGGAGTGGGTTACAATTTTGATAACGTGGGTGGAGACTGAATCTCTGAGATCAGCTTTATGCTCTGGGTTTTAACTTTATGAGACTATGTATTTTTTATTGAGGTATAAGTGACATGTAACATTATATTAGTTTCAGGTGTCCAACATAATGATTCAGTATTTGTATGTATTGTGAAATGATTGCCACAGTAAATCTAGTTAACATCCATCACCATACATAGTTATACATTTTTTTCTTGTGATGAGAACTTTTAAGATCTACTCTCTTAGCAATTTTCAAATATACAATATTGTCAACTATAGTCACCATGCTGTACATTACATCACATGATTTATTTAAAACGTATGGACCACCTCACAACTTTGCTTGTCATCTTTGCACAGGAGCTGTGCTAATCCTCTCTGTATCCAGAGAAGTTCCAGTTTGAGTGTATGTGCTGCTGAAGCAGGTGCTTCTTTTTTTCCCCCGGCTCTATTGATAGGACTTTTATACTATATTTTATCAAATTGGAGGAAAGTCTGTTTTCAACACACTTTCAGGACCATAGTAAATGGAAGAGGGGGGACTCTCTGAATATGAAGGTGACAGCTTATTGCCTTTTTTAAATATCACAAAATGATAGTCGTCATAATAAAAATACAGATCAAGAAAAAGAATGAAAATTAAAAACTCTTATTGTACCTACTCGGAGATAAACATGGTTAATACTTTGTTGTCTGTCCTTCCAGAATATTATCTATGTGTATACAGAAACACACACACACACACACACACACACACACACAAACTTTTTTCCAAACATGAGTTCATTTCAGTTAATAGTGTATCATTTACATCTTTTAAAATAGTCAAGTGCATAATTTTAATGGTTCCTTGCTTAAAACATTCTCAAGTCTCTTCCATCTTTTTTTTTTTTTTTTGTGGTACGCGGGCCTCTCACTGTTGTGGCCTCTCCCGCTGCGGAGCACAGGCTCCGGACGCGCAGGCCCAGCGGCCATGGCTCATGGGCCCAGCCGCTCCGCGGCATGCGGGATCTTCCCGGACCGGGGCACGAACCTGTGTCCCCTGCATCGGCAGGCGGACTCTCAACCACTGCACCACCAGGGAAGCCCAAGTCTCTTCCATCTTAAAAACTTCCCTCATAATATACCGATAGGTACCACCTTTTTTTTTTTTTTTTTTTTTTTGGCCACACCGCGTGGCTTGTGAGCTCTTAATTTCCCCACCAGGAATTGAACCTGGGCCCTCGGCAGTGTAAGCACCAAGTCCTAACCACTGGACTGCCAGGGAATTCCTGCAAACTCATTTTTTTAAAGTAAATAATTATTTCTTGCCCTGCCTGCCCCCAATCTGTTTTCCCTGTCTCAGTGAATGGTTAGCATAATTTACCAGTTGTCAACAAAGAACCTGGTTCGGTTTGAAACCATCACGTACTCTTCTTGTTCTCCATTCAAATAATTATCAACTTCTGCTTATTTTGCCTCTAAATATCACTTGGACCTACCAAATTCCATTCTCATTGCCAGCATCTCACATCAGGCCCTTTATATCTTGCCTTGATTCCAACAAAAATGATGATATTTTGGATATGTTTGGTTAAATAGAATATATTATTAAAATTAATTTCCCCTGTTTTTTCCCTATTTTAATGTCGCTACTATTAGAAAATTTTAAATTACCTCTATGTCTCATATTTCTATTGGGCAGCAATTATCTATACTCTAACTCTCAAGCCTCTTTTTATATTACTTGAATTTTATTTTTTAAATTCTAGGAGGCTTAAAAAGAATTGGAATTTAATTAATCCATGGTATTATTTTGGGTTAACTGGCCTAATACTAGTTACAACATTTTAAAGTTTATTAACCTGATTCTTTTTTCCTCTCTTCCTTCCTTCCTTCCTTTTCCCCTTCCTTCCTTCCTTCCTTCCTTCCTTCCTTCCTTCCTTCCTTCCTTCCTTCCTTCCGTCCTTCCTCCCTATTCTCTCCAAATAAAAATATCTCTGTTTATTCATATTCTCTTCTGTACTATAGTATGACTCATGTCGGTTTTATCATGTAATGATTTACTTACGTCTGTCTTCCCATCTAGACTGTGAACTCTTAGTAGTAGGAACCATATCTTAATCATCTTTGCATTCCCAGAACCCTTGCCTTTCACATAGTAGTGACGTAATAGATATAGTCTGAGAATGTGACTCTGAACAACCAGGGTTCTAGAACTTGAATTAATCCTGCCTATTTTAGGCAAGACACTGTCATATGATACTCTCTTGAAATAAAAAATTGTGTTGTAGATAGTATTCCCCCCCAATGGAAACACTTTTTACTTATAAAAATAACAGTATCGGACTTCCCTGGTGGCACAGTGGTTAAGAATCCACCTGCCAATCCAGGAGATGCAGGTTCGAGCCCTGGTTCAGGAGGATGCCACATGCCGCGGAGCAACTAAGCCCGTGCGCCACAACTACTGAGCCTGTGCTCTAGAGCCTGGGAGCCACAACTACTGAAGCCCTCGAGCCACAACTATGGAAGCCCACGCGCCTAGAGCCCGTGCTCTGCGACAAGAGAAGCCACCGCAATGAGAAGCCTGCGCACCGCAATGAAGAGTAGCCCCCGCTCGCCGCAACTAGAGAAAGCCCACGTGCAGCAACGAAGACCCAACGCAGCCAAAAATAAATAAATAAATAAAATCTACGTTTTAAAAAACCCCAAAAAACAAAAAAAAAAAACAGTATTTGACATACTTTCAAATAATACAGACGCATGTAAAATAGAAGGTGACTGTCCTTTGGAAAAGACCAGTGTCAGAAATATGAAATTAATACAGTTGAGCACTACTGTCAAGGCGCACTGATTACTCTAGGGGGCAGACTTGAGCCGACCTTTGGATGATAATGCTGGACACAGAGAAGTCTCCCTGTTGGGCCAATGACAAAATCACTAACATTACTTTCAGACAGAAAAGAGAACTGCAGCATTTCCTATCAAAACTCTTGGAGGTGGGTTTAAACTAATTAAATGTTGAGTAATTTTTATGACTTATTAATGTATTTAAAGGTACACATGAGGGAGGATGACAAACTGGTTATCTCCATGGGGCATGAAAAAAGAAAGAGGCATAAAATACTTGTGCAGATGATTTACATTTGCACAATGGGAAATTTTAAACTGGCAAAGGGAGGGATTATAAATTCTAATGATCTCTGTCTTTGGAGTTTTTAACATCCTACTGTAACCTTGGATTATCTAATTCTGTTTTGGCTGAATTCCTGCTACAACTTTGGAGCCAGTTATCATAGTAGTTGACTGAGAACAGTTCTGCCCCATCTGCTTGTATGGAGATGTGAGGAAAAAAACAACGGTGAATGGGAACCCTAGTGTACTGTCGATGGGAACGTAAGTTGGTGCAGCCACTATGGACAAGGGTATGGAGGTTCCTCAAAAAATTAAAAATAGAACTACCATATAATCCAGCAATTTCACTTCTGAGTATTGATGTGAAGGAAACAAAACAGTAGCTCAAAAACATATCTGCACTCCCATGTTCACTGCAGCATTATTTACAACAGCCAAGATGTGGAAACAATCTAAGTCTCCATTGATGAGTGAATGGATAAAGAAGATGTGGTACATATATATGTATGTATGTGTATATATAATATATATATACAAATGGAATATTATTCAGCCATAAAAAGAATGAAATCTTGCCATTCACGACAACTTGGATTGACTTGGAGGGCATTATGCTAAGTGAAATAAGTCAAACAAAGAAAAACACTGAAAGACAAACACTAAATGATTCCACTTATATGTGGAATCTTAAAAAAAAAAAAGAAACAGACTCATTGATAACAGAGAACAAACTGGTGATTGGCAGAGGTGGGGGGTGGAGGGATGGCGAGGATGGGGGGTGAGAAATGGGTAAAGATAGTCAAAAGGTACAAACTCCCAGCTATAAAAAAAAGTAAATCATGGGGATGTAATGTACAGTATGGTAACTATAGTTAACACTACTGTACTGCATGTTTGAAAGTTGCTAAGAGAGTAGATCTTAAAAGTTCTCATCACAAGAAAAACAAATTTTGTAACCATGTGTGGTCACGGATGTTAACTAGACTTGTTGTGGTGATCATTTCACAATAAATACAAATATCAGATCATTATGTTGTACACCTAAAACTAATATAATGTTATATGTCAATTATACTTCAAAAAAAGAGAGAGAAAACAAAAAACAAAGGAACAGAGAACAGATTGGTGGTTGCCTGAGGTGGGGAGGGGGTGTAGATAGGCTGTGTGCAAAATGGGTGAAGGGGGTCAAAAGGTACAAACTTCCAGTTTCAAAATAATTAAGTCCTGGGGATGTAATGTACAGCATGGTGGCTAGAGTTAACAATACTATATTGCATATTTGAAAGTTGCTAAGAGAGTAGATCTTAAAAGTTCTCATCACAAGAAAAGAATTTTGGAACTATGTGTGGTAGTGGATATTGTAGACACTGTAGTCATCATTTTGCAATATATACAAATATGGAATCATTATATTGTACACATGAAAAGAATATAATGTGTTTTAAAAAAATATTTATTTATTTATTTGGTTGTGCTGGGTCTTCGTTGTGGCAGGTGGGATCCTTAGTTGTGGCATGCGAACTCTTAATTGCAGCATGCATGTGGGATCTACTTCCCTGACCAGGGCTGGAACCCTGGCTCCCTGCATTGGGAGTATGGAGTTTTATCCACTGGGCCACCAGGAAAGTCCCCTGAAATGTATATAATGTTACAGGTCAATTATAGCTCCATTAAATAAAAAAAAGCAAGCAAACAAAAAACAATAATGAACTGTGAAACTCCTCGATTTAAGCCGGCTTCTTTTCCCCAACATGTGCATGCATGTGTGCCTAGCAACTCTTGAGTGACTTATACCCCAGAGCATAGCCCCCCTTGCCTTGGCTCATGATCTCTGAGTCTCTAGCTTGTTCACTAATTGCCAGGATCTGCTTGTTCATTCAACAAAGATTTTTTGACTTCCTGTCCTGTGCTAGGGATACAAAAGTGAGCAAAAGAGATAAAAACCTGTTTTCCAGGAGCTCACATTCCAGTGAGGAAGATAAATAGTAAACAAAAATCTACTCATCACTTCCTCAGAGATAACTAATTAAAAAAAATATTGTGTGCCTCTCTAGCTTGAAGACCTTGGCAAGCTCCTCATTATTTATAGAATTAAATCAAAACCTTTCAGCATGGCATCAAACACCCCATGTAGCTGGTTTTCAAACTTTAATGACAAAGGTATTATTTCAAACTCTTCGTACCTCCTTCCCTCTCTTCTCCTCCCTCCTCAGTATTCTGTGTCCTATACATCTTTCTTCACAGCAGATGTTTTCATTGCTATTGTGTAAATCGCCTTCAAGTGTTTTGGTGGAGGGATAAATGCAAACAA